AAATTAAAGATAAAAATTCCATGCAATATGAATGACTTGTTGATCCTTTTAGGCTTGTTTTACTTTGTATTTTGAATTGACCGGAAATTAAAGCATGACGATCTTCTAGAACATACTTTGCGTTGTCTTTTGTTTGTAGCTCGGCAACGGCAGTCCTCTCTCGATTCCAACCATTTCCGTTTCTGTTGCGTTGCCGGGTGCTCCTGCCCTCCTTTGACGTCCCGTACCCGTCAGCAATTTCATCCACCCAATCTCATCCATAATGTCTGACAAGAACAAGAAAGATGTAAGTGTTCTGAATGTTTTATTGGGACATTCATGATATGTAAATCGTTCAGTGTATTTTTTTTCATTCTGTCCGTTCAAAGGCCACATGGCCTGTGGAAATGGTTTTGCGCTTCTTGTCTTGTCGTGTCAATATTTTTCACTATCACTAATAGTAGTTGCACTGTCACTTACGTTGTAGACTCTGGCACGATTTTAATTTATCAAATTTCAATTCAGTGTTACTTGCTTGATTCCCTGTAGTGGTGTTCTTGGTTATGTATCAGTAACGTGTATAAGTTTAGTTTCGCTTCCGTTGTGCAATGTGCAATGCATCACACTGGTGTAAATTCCATCAGGATTTCCTGATCGCAGTGCCCTGATTCCTCATCGCATCCAAGGTTTCTGATGGTTTTCTCGGTTTCTGATGGTTAGTTTCTGATCGTTCCTTCAAAACCTAATGGTATTATCTCAAATTTTTGATGGTATTTTTTCCCTGATCGTAAAATTTCTGATGGTGTATAAACCATCAGGATAATTTCTAGGTCTGATGGTAATTTTCTGATCGTAGAAACATCTTTGATGGTTATTTGACATTTTCTGATAGTTCCTTTTAGTACCATCAGAAAATGATGTTTTCCTGATCGCCTCGATCAAGCAAATAATTGGCCTGACGAAACTATGTGTCGCACGGTAAAACGGCTTTTTGTGGTGTACGAGGATCACATACTTTATCGTTTGCTCACATAATAACAAAATCACCTTTATCACCCTGTGATTTCTAGGAGAACGGCTAAAGGTAGGTCAATTTTGATACCACCATTGTGCTCAGCGCCGAAAGTTTACACGGGTGATGTGGAATCTTGACCCTTCGGCGGCCCGCTGCTGACTTCACCTTCACCACCAAAGATGCTACCATCAAGGACATTTACCATTAGTATACTAACCATCAAAACGCAATTACCATCGGAGCCCAACTTTACTATCAGAACAATACCATCAGGCCAAAAACTATCAGGAACGTCCCATTTTCTATCAGGGGACAAATAACTGATCGTACCTTTTTTGATCGTATTTTTCCTCAAGGTAAATTTTCTGATGGGATTTACACCAGTGCACTAGACTTCTGATTTTAACTTCATGTGAAAAGTATTGTTTATATTGCTAAGATTTTTTACCTCTTCTTACAAAGATCTTAACACATACGTTAATCTAAGTCTACTTTGAGCTACATTACAATTGCAGTATTTCTTTAATTTAGAAAGGCGTTTAACACTAGAACTACCGGAGGGGTCAAAATGACCCCTTTTGATTTTAAATTGCCAAATGAACTATCAAAATTTTTTTCTACCGACCCGTCACTTTTTGACTTTTCATGGGTCACCAAAATACGCTTTGACACGAAAAATCAGGCATGTGCGTCAAAAACTTTAGGAGATATTATAACATATACCTCGCTCTACCGAAGGGGTCATTTTGACCCCCTGTATTAGTTTTCGAGGGCTTTGATGGTTTTAACGAGAGGTTTTTGAACTTAAACCTTGCTATTGTTGTTCTGTGTGGTAAGTATTGACTTCCGCTTGGTCGTGTGACAATTTTGAACCTCTATCAGCATAGGTAGGCAACCCGCACATCACAAAATCATGTTTTCCTTACATAATACTTGTGAGGCATTCGCAACGGTTCTGTCGTCCTGAAAACGCGTTCCATGGTCGAACAAAGGTTAAAAAGGTTGATAAATGGTCTATTACGACTGTTATTGCATGAAATTTGTATACTGATTTATTCGCAGAACCAAAGTTTCAGAATTACTTACCGTATTTGCGGTGTTTACGGTTGTTGGTCAGCCTAAAATAAACACAGGCTATGCTGAAATGTTGAGAATAATTGTTTCTCATTGTAATCCTATGCAATTTACCCGAAACAAAACGAAAAATTGCGAAAAAATCTGTCAAACTTGTGAAAAATTGCATTTCCTCCTTTTCGGGTTGCCTACCTACCCCCACACAGGGACCCCCGTAGGTCCAAATACTGCATCAAGGGTCAAAAATATCGAAAATAGAAGTTGTGTAACCAAAGCCGCAGTCTTTGAACAGCTCAAACGGCAGAATAGCACTAAGGGGTCAAAATGACCCCTCCGGTAGATCTAGGTATACGAAAATCCCGGTAGTTCTAGTGTTAACTAAGCTATAGTCATTATTTTGTTAGGGTTGATCACACATTTGTTTTCGTAGAGTATTTTTTTTCTATAACGTACTGCGTTACTCCATCGGGTGTGACAATTCTTGCTTCAATAATTTGTCTCACCAGTATATTTTTGTTGTTGCAGAGTCCATACAAGAAGTTTGCTCATAAGAATGCCACCCACACGGGATTTTGTTCAATGAGGCAATTAGAACTAAACAAGGCATATCAAATGTACGACTTGATTCACACCACGAAGTATGGTTCGGGCGAGTTGGCTCATCTAAGGACGAGCAAGAATGTCTGCTGGAAGGTCCAGTTGCCAACCAAATATTTGAAAGAGCTGGACCCTGAAGATATCGAACACTTCAAGGCAGACATCAAGAAGAAAGCTTATCCCTTTGTTGCTTTTCGCGAAGTAATGAATGATGGCAGTTTTAGAATGGATATGCTTGAAGACAGTAAGTTACTTTCTTTATTTATTCTTGCAGCTTCTTTATCTGTATATCTTAATTTGTTGTGTGATGCAATGTTTTGCGTTTACAGGTCCTGACATGAGAATCAAATATAAAAATTGGGAGGACATCCCAGAAGTTGTTTTTGAAGATAGCCTGAACAGCAGCAATGAGGGACCTGCTAACAAGAGCAAGGATGAAGAAAACGGCGATGCATCATCCACTGACAAACCTCTAAATCAATCTGGTTCCTCTAAAGATACTTCCAATCAATCTTAGGTATACATTTGTGAAGAAATTATGATTATTTTGTTCCGTTTATTTTTTTTTTATGACTGATTTCTTTGTTGAAGATATTTCGACGGCTCCCTCCTAAAGAATACGTTACGGTACGTCTCTAAAAGATACGTTATGTTCTGTACGTCTCTAAAAGATACTACTAGTTTTGAGGTTATCAGGAGGTCAGTTTTGGCAGGCGATCCACATCTGATAGAAGTTCAAACCAATTGTTCCAATGGCTGAAATATGCAGATGGGGACTTGAACTGTCATCTGAAACCATTGATGCACCACATTTCAACCCCGTTTTGATCCTAAACGGCTGCCGAAAATGTGCTGCAAGAAAGCTCAAAACAGATAGTATCTTTTAGACGCGTACTCCACATAACGTATCTTTTAGAGACGTATCGTACATAACGTATTCTTTAGGAGGGAGCCGTCGATTTGTGGAGTAATAATGGATCCTATTTACGACCCAAGTATTTTTTTATTCTATTTTAAGTGTTAACATCAACGAATCATGTATATGAAGGGTTGAATGTTGCAGCTATTCTTGTAATGACCCAAAGATTATATCTGGTTCTCTTTTTGACTGAATCCCAGTTGCAATATTACTGAAAATGACTAGTTCATAACTTGATGGAAACCATAATTTTGTTTGTATCTTAATATTTTGTATTGTTCTCTTGTACAATTGTATCATAT